TATACATGTCTAATTGTTTGAGTTTAAATATGTTGCTAAAAAAAAAACTTTTGATCATCTAAAATCAAAAAGAGATAAACAAATTGAAATTGCTATATTCTCAAAAGTGCTTTGATGATTTTGCTTTGGAATAATGTAAATGTAGATAATCTAAACTCTAAAGCTAAAACTTTTGAGAATGAAGAACTTGATATTTTAGTTAAAAATAGTGAAAATGAAAATGATTATTATGATGAAATTAAATATATTAATGATAAAATTAACATATCCATGCTAGATAATCTAGTGATAATTCATTAGATAATTACGATTTAATAGCATAAAATAACGTTAAAAGTGATTTACAAGATAAATTACTAAAAATGATACTAAATGAGATATGTCTATTGTGAATGATCCTGAGAATACACTTTGATATCCTAATGATTTTGCAATAAAAAATAATTATAATAAATAAAGGCATCATGTTTTTGGTTTGTCTATGGCCTTAAATGTGACACTCATTCTACCCTAATATACACAATAAAGAAAATTAAAGAAATACCAATTTAACATAGGTAAAATAGTTAACATGTCCAAAAGAAAATACATTTCTAATCCGATCAATTTAAAATAAAGTTTAGAAAGCGAATAAGTTCGTAAATAGTTTCAAAGGAAATGTAAAAACTCCAATTACAATAAAAATTAAAGTCCTAACAAACCCTTGCCCCAATGTCACACTATTAGAGCACTCTTATGACTCAATTATTGGCATCTTGAATATCACTCATGCCCACATCTTCCTCACCTAAAAACAACCACAAACGTTCGGTGAGAAAAAAATATTTATGTAGAAAGCACATCACGAAATTCCATAAAATAATTTCAAAGCAATATATTCCATAAACACAACATTCATCATTTAAACATGTTCAAAATCATTTCTCAAATCCATATATTTCATCATTTCATCACAATCCACATATTATATCATCTCATCACAATCCGCATATGTACATATAAATAAATTGCACATATACACCATGTCACACATCTAACACCAAATCACGTACATGCCCCTGTTGACGCATCACACGTCCAACATTGTATCACACACCCAAATGTGTTAATGCATCCCACTATTGACATCGATATCACACATTTGACTGTACCTGATGCATCACACATCTAGTACCGTATCACGCATACGACCATGCCCTAACAATACATTAATAGCACCGTATCATGTGCACGCCCTTACGACCTAGTGTCATGTATACGATTGTGCCCAATCATCACATCACAATTCATATTTCAATTCCACATCACATGCATAATATAGATAATATCACACAAAACAATGTTTCACATACTGATGGAACCACTTGGAGAAGATTGATGTTCTTCAAGTTGATTGAGCAGTTTAGAGATTTGAGACTAGAGGTGGAGATTGTTCAAGATCACATTAGTTGTGGTATTCGAGTCTTTTGGGATACTCTGTGGGGAGTGATCCTTCTAGGTTTCTGTTGTGTCATATCTCTGATATGTGTTAGTGTTGGTGAGTTGTGGTGGTGAAGTGTTAGTAAAAGAATGTTTGAATTCTTTTAGTATGGTGAGGCCTCAGTTTGATCAGATCGCTAGGGCTATGGAGATGATGGCCATGGTGATGCAGCAGCAAAGTGCTCACTTTTCTCAGATGGAGGCAGGTAGAGCTGCGATTGAGGTAGCTAGATCGATGGTCCCTCAGGATGGGAGAGATTTAGCAGAGTTTAGGAGATGTTAGCCTCCTCAGTTCAAGGGGGGATTCAGATCCTAATGTGGCAGATTAGTGGTTGTGTGAGATGGAGAAGATCTCGAATGTTTTGGGATCTTTTGAGGAGAGGAAGTTGGCTTATGTAGTATGTATACTGGTGGGTGAGGTTGAGTACTAGTGGAGAGGCACCAAATAGATGTTAGAGAGCAGGGGTGTACCTGTTGATTGGGATTGTTTCAGGGGGTCTTTTTGGAGAAGTATTTCTTAGATAGCGTTCGATACACTAAGGAGGTAGAGTTCATGAGACTGCAGCAGGGGAGCATGTCTGTTTTAGGTTATGCTATGAGGTTTGAGCAATTGACTCGTTTCTACTCTCAGGCCATAATTGAGGCTTGGAGATGTAGAAAGTTTGCAGAAGGGGTTGAGGAATATGCTGAAGGGGGTCATACTCCATATGTCCATAGTGGAGTTTCCTGCCTTGGTTGAGAAGGCAAAGACGGTTGAGAGATTGGAGGGTGGTGGTAGCAGCGGTAAGGCTGCTAGAGTTCATGAGGGATCATCCGGATCTAGGAGGGGAGGTCAGCAGAGAGGACCCTAGACAGGCCTGTTCAGTCTCAAAGGGGTGCTGTTAGTAGGGGACCTCGTCCTGCTACTCCTTAGGGTGGAGTACAGTCATTGTAGTGTTATAGATGTGGAGAAGCCCACATGGTTAGAGATTGTTCCCATCTGGGGAATGTTTTTTGTATGTGGCAGGCCAGGCCACATTTCCAAAGATTGTCAAATGCCATCGACTCCATCTAGGAGTGCCCCGAGGCCAGTCAGGCCTATGGTTGCGGGGAGTGTATTTTTCTTTATCAGGTGTAGAGGCTTCCACTTCATCAGATTTGGTGAAGAGGAAGGGGAAGGCAGCAGGTGAGGATATTTTGTTCCTGTTTGATTTCGTTGCCACACATTCATTTTTTTCTGTTGATTGTGTGGGGAGATTGGGTTGTTGGTGTCTGCATGGCACGTTGATTTGTATGTGTCTACTCCAGCTTCAATTTCTGTGATGACATCAGAGATGTGTGTGAGATGCCCGATAGAGGTGTTTGGTAGGAGGTTCCGAGTGAACCTGATTATGTTGCTCATGGTAGATATTGACATAATCTTAGGGATGAATTGGTTATCTATCCATCACATCCTTATAGATTGTGCTCGGAGAGAGTTGGTATTCCCTCAATTTGAGGATGAGGTGATATTATCAGCGGTCAGGCTGAAGTTGATAAGAGATGGAGCTGAGTGCTTCATGTTGTTTGCCGCCTTGAGTGTTAAGACGGAGAGGGTCATCATTAGGATTAAGATTGTCAGTGAGTTTCCTAAGGTTTCCCAGATAATGTGCTAGGATTGCCACCTATGAATGATGTTGAGTTTAGCATTGATCTGGTACCAGGTGCAGGACCAGTATCAGTGGCCCCTTATAGGATGGCTCCAGCTGAGTTGGTAGAGCTGAAGAAACAGATTGAGAATTTGTTGGAGAAACAGATGGTGAGGTCCAGTGTTTCCCCTTGGGGTGCCCCGATACTATTAGTTAAGAAGAAGGATGGTGGGGCCCGTTTGTGTGTTGATTATCGACAACTGAATAAGTTGACGATAAATAATAGGTATCCATTTCTAAGGATTGATGATTTGATGGATCAGCTGAGGGGAGTTTCGGTATTTTTGAAGATTGATTTGAGATTCGTATACCATCAGATCAGGGTAAAGGAAAGTGACATACCGAAGACTGTTTTCAGGACTAGGTATGGTCATTGTGAGTACGTAGTGATGCGTTCGGTGTCACTAATGCTCTGGCAGTGTTCATGGATTACATGAACAGGATTTTCAAGTCATTCTTGGACAAATTTGTGGTGGTCTTCATTGATGATATTTTGGTGTACTCTAGATCTTTGGAGGATCACCGTGAGCATCTGAGGTTGGTTTTAGAGGTGTTGAGGGAGAGGTAGTTGTATGCCAAGCTGTCCAAGTGTGAGTTTTGGTTGTCTGAGGTGAGATTTTTTGGGGCATGTGATATCGGCAGAGGGGATTGTAGTGGATCCAGCCAAGGTGGAGGCTGTGATTCAATGGAAGCATCCGAGGACTTCTACGAAGATTAGGAGTTTTGTTGGGTTAACGGGTTACTATCAGAGATTCATAGAGGATTTCTCTTGAATAGTAATGCCTTTGACTTAACTGACTCAGAAAGATCAACTTTTTGTTTGGATGAACGCTTGTGAGCAGCATTTTCAGGAATTGAAGGGGTGATTGATTACTTCCCCAGTTTTGGTGTTACCTGACACTGGTGAGTATTTTGAAGTGTTCTGTGATGCTTCTCACCAGGAGTTGGGCAGTGTGTTGATGCAGAGAGGGAGAGTAGTGACATATGTTTCAAGGCAACTTAAGACACATGAGAAGAATTATCCTACTCATGATTTGGAGCTTGCAGTTGTGGTGTTTGCCTTGAAGTCGTGGAGGCACTATCTGTATGGTGTGAGATTCAGTGTATTTAGTGATCACAAGAGTTTAAAGTACCTGTTTGATTAGAAGGAGTTGAATATGAGGCAGAGGAGGTGGATGGAATTCCTAAAGGACTTTGATTTCCAGTTGATGTATCATCCTGGAAAGGCGAGTGTTGTAGCAGATGTATTGATTAGGAAATCTATTCATATGTCGGCTATGTTGATTAGGGAGTTGGAGCTGATTGAGCAGTTTAGAGATTTGAGACTAGAGGTGGAGATTGTTCAAGATCACATTAGTTGTGGTACCACCCTCCAATCTCTCAACCGTCTTTGCCTTCTCAACCAAGGCAGGAAACTCCACTATGGACATATGGAGTATGACCCCCTTCAGCATATTCCTCAACCCCTTCTGCAAACTTTCTACATCTCCAAGCCTCAATTATGGCCTGAGAGTAGAAACGAGTCAATTGCTCAAACCTCATAGCATAACCTAAAACAGACATGCTCCCCTGCTGCAGTCTCATGAACTCTACCTCCTTAGTGTATCGAACGCTATCTAAGAAATACTTCTCCAAAAAGACCCCCTGAAACAATCCCAATCAACAGGTACACCCCTGCTCTCTAACATCTATTTGGTGCCTCTCCACTAGTACTCAACCTCACCCACCAGTATACATACTACATAAGCCAACTTCCTCTCCTCAAAAGATCCCAAAACATTCGAGATCTTCTCCATCTCACACAACCACTAATCTGCCACATTAGGATCTGAATCCCCCCTTGAACTGAGGAGGCTAACATCTCCTAAACTCTGCTAAATCTCTCCCATCCTGAGGGACCATCGATCTAGCTACCTCAATCGCAGCTCTACCTGCCTCCATCTGAGAAAAGTGAGCACTTTGCTGCTGCATCACCATGGCCATCATCTCCATAGCCCTAGCGATCTGATCAAACTGAGGCCTCACCATACTAAAAGAATTCAAACATTCTTTTACTAACACTTCACCACCACAACTCACCAACACTAACACATATCAGGTAGGAGGTTCCGAGTGAACCTGATTATGTTGCTCATGGTAGATATTGACATAATCTTAGGGATGAATTGGTTATCTATCCATCACATCCTTATAGATTGTGCTACATGTAAAATATGGAAGAGACAACACGAATTCATACAAAAGTTTAAGAACACATAACCTCAGGTGTTTCTTCCAGGCCGTGCTACTGGCGCCTCCCCCTGTGAAACCACCTGCAATTGTATTGATTACTCCCCGTAGGGGAGCTGACCTTGTTTCCTGGCTTATCTCTGCTTGCACTGCTTCGCTGGCATTTTGCTGAGGGCCAGAGGGTTGGTCCGTGCGAGCTCCCGAACCACGACCTCTGCCTCGTCCTCGCCCACCGTAGCCCCCTCGGTGACCCTGCTGTTGCTGGACATATTGGCCGAGGTGGCCTGCTTGAATGAGCTCTTCAATACGGTCTCGGAGTGTGCGGCACTCCTCAGTGGTGCGACCGTGATTCCTGTGGTACCGACAGTGCTTGGATTTATTGGCACTGTTGGGGGTGTGACCTGGCGGTGGCAGGGTGGGCAGGTTATTATTACTGGCCTCCTCCAGGATATGCACTCAGGGCGCGTTCAGGGGAGTATAGAAATCGTATCTCCCCCCTTTATTTGCCTTAGCCGACTTCTTGAATTGGCTGTCGTTGGTGACTTTCATCTTGTCTTTGTGGTCACTATTAGGTTTTACTTGTGATTTTCTGCGAACCTGGTCACGGAAAGCGGAATGCTCCTCCATCTAGATGTAGCCTGCAGCACGAGCGCAGAGCTTGTCCATGTCGCAAGGAGACTCACGACATAGGCTATCGACGAATGGTCCAGACTTGAGTGCCATGAGCATGGCATGCAGGGCGACCTCGGG